GCTCCCTTTTGATCTCCTTTGCTTGTCCTTGGAGTGTCTACCTCCATGCGTCTAGGCCTAGTGTTTGGCTGAAAGTTGAGCCATGGGGGTGAGTTCAGTTCCCGGCTGAAGGGTATAGAAAAGGTGTAGTCCACCAGTCTGCATGACCTGTAGGCCCAAGCTTTTATTATTTTGGGTTTTGTTTCACATTATTTTCCCACGCTCTCCAAGATTCTCTGTGGCGATTCTTTTTTTCCCCCGCTCCCCGCCCCTCCCCCTTCGTGGTGATTCTTTTCAGTCATCAGTAGTGGTGGCTGCTGGGCACTGCCTAATTTTTCTGGTCTCGGCATGGAGGCTGGGTTCCATGTGGTCTATTAGGTCCTTTGGACTCATTGTTTTCTGTCTGTCATTGCACCTGAGGGTGGGATTTGATAGAGATGTATTTGTATGTACTAATACTGGAAAATAAAGACAAAGTGGGTACAGCTTATTACATGGAGAAAGCTTTTAATTTTCGCATTCATGTCACACCTCAGTTGTCTTTTCCTGATGGTTGAGGTGGGTGACGGGCTGTACTTGGAATGGCTGTTTTTCATTAGGCGAATTTAAATTCTGCTTTAGAAGAGTTTTCCTTTTGTGAGAAAAGAGATGTGCTGAGCTTTGAGAATTGGTGACCTGATCAGGAATCTTTCTGGCTCTTCTAGAGGCCATGTGGAAGTGTTACATCAAGTTTTGCTTGGAGAGATTTACAAAGAAAACCAGCAGTGACTCTCTCCGAGGGAAGGTAAGGGCTGAGTCCCGCGATCACAGTGGCTGACGCAGCGTGACTGTTGAAGAAGAGCTCGACAAGTTCCACAGCTTCCTGCTCAGCCACTTTCTCCTTGAGGGTGACCCGCCACGCTGATCCTTGGAGTCGGGCTTGCCCTTCCATGGACAAAACCCGGTTAGGAGGTGCTCTCTCGCAGCCCATCTGATATTAAGTCACTCTGAGAGCGAGCAGCATGGCAGTAGCATCTCTGAATTCACAAAAATATGTAACATTGCTTTTGCTTGTTGTCAGGCCAGGATCCCTTTGTGGGAAATCTGTAAGGGACTCAAGGATTTTTTCCTTTTCAGAGGCTGACAAGGACCATGATGGCATTCAAAAAGGCACATGAACTCAAGCTTCTGCCAGAAGTCCAATACAAGCAGTGGGTAAGGCTAGTCAGTAACGGTTAAATACACTTTAAACTGAGCGGTCCTGTAGGACAGCTACAACTGCCACATAGAGTTTATAAGACTGTATGTAAACTGTTAAACTTACAGGAGTAGAAAGCCTCATATTTCTCCTGGGGAGTGACTGGTGGTTTTGAACTACGGACCTTGCAGTTAGCAGCCCAGCATGTAACCCACTCTGCTACCATAGGCCCCACCTATTCCTAAATATACTCATACATGTTCATGCATACATGACAGGGCACCAAAAAAAACAACAACCAGAGTTGCGCTGGGCGGAGCAGAGCTTTCACAGTATGCACTGTTCCTGTTAGGCAAGCATGGAGCCGCTCGCTCTGTTAGTGCACCCAGGGGTGTTGCCTGTGAAGGTTCTCTGGTCACAGTGAGTTTTTTCCTAAAAGCACTTTCGCTTGAACCTCATGTTTTGTGATGGCCTGTGTACGGCTGTGAAATTTTGTTTCCTGCGCTGGAAAATTGCAGAAACCGTTGGGATTTTGCACACAGCTTACAAGGACAGCTCTATGGGAAAAACTCAAATGTATGAGTTGTTTTCTCATCTCAAAAGAGGTAAAATGTCAACTTATGACAAACCTCACTCTGGACATCCGTCAGCTTCCTGAGTGGATGAAAATGTCGACTTGTAGTGCATTTGGAGATTGTTCCATCAGGTCGGACTTAGCTAAGCTTTCTATTTAGAGGTTCTAAAAAGATTGCTTAACAGTGTGCAACAAAAAGGGCTGATTTGTGGTAGACGGGGGACTGGTTTTGCCACCACGACAATGCACCTGCTCATGTGGCCATCTCAGTGCACCAGTTTTTGGCTAAAAACAGCATGTCGCTTTTGCCCCATGCACCTTACTCACCTGACCTCGCTTCATGCTACCTTTTGTTTCCATGAATGAAGAGGGACATGGAAGGACAGTGATTTGATGACAACATAGAAGAGGTGAAGAAAAAACCGAGGGGGGTGCTGTCAGCAATGCAAACAGATGAATTTGAAAAACGTTTCCAAGGATGGAATCGCAGAGTTGACAAATGTTATTGAGTGTAATGGAGAGTGCTTTGGAGGTGATAAGGTTGTTTTGTAAAAAAAAATTAAGTACATAGCTTTGGGAGGAAAAATTTGATGGTTTTGGTACCCCCCCTCATATATGTACCTTATTACACAGGTATATGCACTTCATGTCTACCTTGTAACCATCCACATCTTTTTTTATTATTACTACTGTTACCACTTTTTAGCACACTTATTGAAACAAGAAAACGACTGGCAACTTTAAGACCAAATTAAAAAAAAAACTGCAGATATTTGCCATTGAGTTGATTCTGGGTGCCGTAGCATTTTTAAAGGCTGATCCCCCCCGCCCCCAGTTATGACCCCAATTCTACCTTACAAATATGGCTAGACCAGAACATGTACACTGGTACAGATAAGAGCTGGAAACACAGGGAATCCAGGACAGATGAACCCCTCAGGACCAATCATGAGAGTAGAGATACCAGGAGGGTAAGGGAAAGGGGGGGGGAGAATGGGGGAACCAATCACAATGATCTCCATGTACCTCCCTCCCAGGAGAACAGACAACAGAAAAGTGGTTGAAGGGAGACAGTGGTCGATGTAAGACATGAAAAAAATAATAACTTATAAACTATCCAGGGTTCCTGAGGGAGGGAGGGGAAAAATGAGGAACTGATAACGAAGGACTTAAGCAGAAAGAAAATGTTTTGAAAATGATGGCAGCATATGTACAAATGTGCTTGACACAATGGATATATGTATGGATTGTGATAAGAGGTGTAAGAGCCCCCAATAAAATGATTTAACAAAAAAAGGCTGATCTTTTGACAGGCTGTCTGAGATGCCTCCAGGTGAATTTGAACCACCAGCGTTCGGGTTAGCAAAGGAGAACTTAACTATTGCATCACCCAGGGACTCTATGATGCTTATTACATAGTGTCAAATTATAGTTCAGAAAAAGGCTCTCAATTTATAGTATGTCCAGTTCTATTTAAATGGATATACTGGGTTCCTTCCCAAAATCTATTGTTGAGTCATTATCTTTTGATTACATTTTTCCGTGAACTTGAAGCACCCTCATACAGATATTCTCCCTCACCCCCAAAGAGCACAGCGCTCACAGGTGATAATCCTTTATCAGCTAATGATTCTGACTCTTAGCCACCCCGGAGGACAGAGTAGAACTGCCCCGTGGGTTTGGAAGGCTGTGCATCTTGACCGAAGCAGTGCTGCCTCTTTCCCTGTGTGGGTTCCAACCACCCATTTTGCTTGGAAGTCAAGTGCTGAACCACCTCCTCTCCAGGGTTCAGTCCTGTTTTCGTGTAGCTCCATATACTGACAGTTATGCTTGGTTTATTGGGTGCAGGTTCTGGTATAGTCAACTGTTGTATTAAAGTGTCGTCTAAATGATCCAGACCTTCTGTTTTTCCTCTCTTTTCTGTTTTTCTGGTAGCCCTTGGGTGTGGAAGTAGGGAAGGGAGAAAGAATCCCGGATTGTTCTCTTTTTTGCCTGCTTGGCAGTCGTGGGAAAAGGTTTAGTGGAAAGCCTGTAGAAATTATTGCCTAAGCTCATTACTGACGCTGATAGCCGGGGAGTCCCTTGTCAGTCTTCCCTGACCCTTTGTGTTACCAGGCGGAGCTGCTGCTGCAGCAGGACTTCTTTAAAGAAGCTCTGGAGGTGGCTGTGGCCGGGACAACATTGTTTAGAGACTCCGTGACAATGTGGCATATGAAGCTGCAGGTGTTGATTAAATCAAAGAGCACCGACGTCGCCAGGCTGTTTGAAGAAGCCTTTGTGCACTTGAAGCCTCAGGTCTGTGCGTTTCAGCTGTTGTATTTCATTCATGTAGGAGGACTTTCAAGATTTCAGCCAGAGCTCTTTTAGAGCGCCCTTAACTGTTGAGAGCCGGGGCTGCAGTGGGATTTTCGTCAACCGATGAGGTCGGGTCAATCCACATAGGAGGAACTGCTTTCTGTTCCTTCAGATCGCTTTCAGTAGGCGATCGCTCAGTGGTTATTTAAAAATTGACTGTGTTACCCAAAATCAAGTACATTACAAAAGTTTCCTATTTAGGTATTTTACAAGTGTTATTAGAATGAGTATGAGTAGAATTGTAACTGTTTTGATTGTGAGCAGGTGTGCTTGCCACTGTGGCTCTCTTGGGCGGAGTGGAGTGAAGACACTCAAAGCCAGGAGGACACTGAAGCCATCTATAAGGTACAGGCCCCGTGCGGAGTCTCCGTGTGGTTCTGGGAAAATTGCTTGTGATGTCTGCAGCTTGTTGCTTGTTTCTCCTAAAACTGCAGAAAGCTCTCCGAGCTGTCACGGGGGCTGACTCAGTAACCCTAAAGGAAAAGTACCTCCATTGGGCCTATCGAAGCGGTGACTGCAAAAAGGCCAGAGCCGTCTTTAGAAGGTACTCACGTTCTTGCCCAACCCGGAACCCCGCTTCTGTGGACCCTAAGTTGTATCTGAGGAAGTAACCCAGGAGATTTTTTTTCGAAGGAGCATGCTTTGTTTTATTTTTTTTAGCCATAAACCATACCCATTGTGGCCAGTACAAAATAAATGAAAGATGCCTGTCATAATTTATTGTAATCTTATCACAAGAAAAAACCAACACCGTTAGTGTGTTATTTTAAAAACTCTTACATAGTTAAGATTGTGCTATGCTTCCAATGTTGTATTTAACTTTCACTGATGAATAATAGGCTGGGCAATTCCCCCATCTTACATAGTTAAGATTGTTGTATTTAACTTTCACTGATGAGTAATAGGCTGGGCAATTCCCCCTTTGGTAAAAATTCTTCATAAGCCTGATAACAAAGTAACTCGTGGGTCATCTGTGGCTGTGCTGTCATTTATTTGGCCACAGCAATAACTGCTTTGATGAATGTTTGCGTGAATGCTGTACTGTTGGCCATCTTGGATGTTAGTGCCTTAGAGCATATTCTTAGAAAAGGAATTATTGGTATTTTTAAAAAAGGCCTAACTCTAAAAGTTACAGAGAGGAGAACAGGAAGAAGACTCGATAGGAAAAAAGCCAATTGAGTGGTGGGTCGGAGTCAGTCCTTACTGACTGAAAGCCGTGAGAGTGACTGGCAGTCAGTTCCAGTTTATGCGCTGATTGTGGCCAAGACTCTGTTGAAACAGGAGTTATAGAGGCACTGATCGATTTGTGTTTATGAGATATGAGGGTTTTTGATTGTAGATGATAAAATCTCCCCCTTCTCCGTTTTTTCTTTTTAGTTTACAGGAAAACCGGCCATTTTCAGTTGATTTTTTTAGGAAGATGATCCAGTTTGAGAAGGAACAAGTAAGTGAGGAATTTCTCCTCTGGGAAGACGGGTTAGCGGTTTCTGTTCTCATTTGCTATTTACAATCTCTCATTCGGACAGCATACATTTCTCATCCCTGCTTTTCATAGCCCTCACTGAAGATGATAAGCAAAAAAGAGAAAGTAGGCGTGCAGGAAATAAAAGACACTGTCGACAGGCTTCCTTGGCTGCCAGGCTGCATTAAGTGCCCCTCCCTTCCCGGCCTCGGTACTGCTTGTCGCTGATGGTGGGTTGTGAGGCAGAGAGCAGATCCTCCACAGCTTCTGGTTCACGAAATGAAATTTGTGCGTACGGCAAACGCAGCTTGGGGTTGCCTTTAAAAATAATATAGGACAGTCCACAAGTATTTCTGATTTCATCACAGGAATACAACTAATCCCATTTTATAAGTATGTTTCCATTCAGTATGGTCACTGTATTAATGGTTGTATTAATCCTAAACCATAGCTTAATAAAAACATTTCCATGGTATATTGGCTGTTTCCAGGTTTTTGATATTGAAAACAGCCTTTTGCTTATATGGCTCTTTTTTTCCTTTGCATTATTTTCTGTTTTTCCTTTTCCATTGTAGAGATAAATTTCTAGAGATATGACTTCATTTTTAAAAAAATCATTTTTTGGGGGGAGCTTACAGCTTTTTTTTTCAATTCTTATCACAATCCAGGCATCCATCCATTGTGTCATAGCACATTTGTACATTTGTTGCCATCATCATTTTCAAAACGTTTTCTTTCTACTTGAGCCCTTGGTATCAGCTCCTCATTGTTCCCCCTCCCTCCCCCATGCTTCCTTCCTCATGAACCTTTGATAATTTATAATTTTTTCCCCATGTCTTGCTTTGACCACTGTCTCCCTTCATCCACTTTTCTGTTGTCCATCCCCTTGGGAGGGGTTTATATGTAGATCATTGTGATTGGTTCCTCCCCCCACCTTTCCCCTTTATTTTCTTTATTTAAATCCTTCTCATCCATCAAGGCTTTCAAACATGTTACCTGTGAAGCTGTGCTTGGGTTACAGACAAACCCCCAACCCCTCCCAAAGGATTGATTGTTTTTCTGAATGGCACCTGAGGTTGTATGTTGTGGAGCTGATTTTGAATCTTAACACTGTATATGACAGAGTGGAACTGCCCCCAGAGGCTTTCCTGGGCTGTAATCTTTATGGGAGCAGATCGACACGTTTGTTCACCCTCAGCCACTGGTGGGTAAGTGGATAGAACTGCCAACTTTTGGGTTAGCAGCGAGACCTTAACCACCGTGCCACCAGGGCTCCTTAGATGGGCCATAGGAAGGTGCTTACATCAGTTTGGCATTGACTGCACGTTGGTGATTAGTGGATCCAGTCGTCTGCATTTGGCTTTTCTCCGGAAAAGAGTCAGGCGTTGTTTACCTGAACTGCCCCAGCCCGGTGAACATAACAAATGTTGTTGTGAAGTCCCATTGAGTTGATTGACCCACAGAGGTACTGTGTACAGCAGAACGAAACACTGCCCAGTGTTGGACCACATCCGGTTGTTCGTATATGTGCGCCCCTTGTTGCAGCCACGGTGTCAATCCACTCATCGAGGTCCTATCTCTTTTTCTGCCCTTCTTGCACCTTAGTGCGCATGTTCTTCTCCAGGGTGGGTCTCTCCTGACAACATGTCCGAAGTACAGGAGGTAAAGTCTTGCCATCAGTGCCTCTAAGGGACATTCTGGATCTGTTGGTTCTTTGGGCAATGCATGGACTTTCAATATTCTTCAGCATCACCATAATTCAAATGTATCGGTTCTCACTGGTCATCCTTATTCATAGTCTAACTTTCACATGCCTGTGGGGTGATTGAGAATACCGGGGCTCTGGTCAGGCACACCTAGTCCTCAGAGGTAACATCCTTGCTTTTCAACATCTTCCAGAGGTACTATATAGCAGATTTACTCCATACAACTCATCGTTTGATCTCCTACTGCAGCTTCCATGAACATCGATTGTGTTCACATAACAAGTAGCAACTGTGTAATCATGTTGAAATGACTGTGAGATGTTATAAACTAAGCTTTTGAGACAGGATTGTCTGTTATTTCTATTAGGAATCCTCTAAGATGGTGAATTTAAGAGAATATTATGAGCGAGCTTTACGAGAGTTTGGATCGGCCGATTCTGGTAAGTCGCCTTCAGCTATGGACACCTGGGTCTGTCTGGGTGTGCTGTCTGTGCTCTGTCCTTAGGGCTATAGAACCGTACACCGTAACCTTTTATGAATCATGACCCTCTGTGAGAAAACCCCCCTGACCTTCAGCTTCTTCCCGTGTTGTGTACAAGCCTCTGGATTGGAGAAAGATTTGTTTGGCTTAGTTCTTTAAAATGGAGGTTTGGAAAGGGGTACGTAACTTTAATTTGTTCACCTGCAAATAACCCTCATTTTATTCATGGTTTTTTTTTTAACCATTTTATTGACATAAAACTCACACATATAAATCAGTGATTCAAATACATAAGTAAAATTGTGCAATTAATGGATTTTGGGTCTCTACTCAGTCCTCCCTTAACACTTGGTTCTAGTAATCTGGTATTCTATGATGCTCACCTCCCCGGCACGATTGCTGAAGACATAATGGGTGCATAAGCAAAGGTGGTGAAGAAAGGTGATGGTGCCGGCTATTAAAAGATACGGCATCTGGGTGTGTTATTTGTGCTGGTGGTGGTGGTGGATACACAATGATTTAAGTCGAAACCAAAAGGAGTGGGGATTACAGCCGAGGACGAGGGGGACACGGGGGACACAGTTGTCAGCACATTGCAGTGGTTTATAAGGTGACCTCTGGCCATGGTTGACAAGCCAACAAACACAGAAACACAGTTGCCTCATTTCCAGTCTCAGAGTAAGAAAGAAATCCTAGCTTCTCCATGGTTCCACTGACCTCTTCCTGATGGAATGAACAAACGTTGCCGTCTTTGCTACCCCACACAAGCTTTATTAGCAAGTTTTAACATTAGGGGAATTCCTGGGTGTTCATTTTACCTTGCAAGAGCCTCCGCCAAATCCTCCCTCAAAAAACAAACAAACAAACAAACAAATAAATAACTAAATGCAATATTCTTTATTTCAAGAAATAGCAAGCTGTCATGATTAAAACAGAAGCCCTTGTTTCTAAACTTTGTTTTGAAAGACCTTAACTGTGAAGAACCTAGGTACTAAAGGTATTGTGTCAGAAGGCTCTAGGGGAAGAACAGCTAGACATGAAATTTCCTTAAGTTTCTAGTTGATTCAGTATTAAAGTAATTTGCTTAATAAAGCAACTGCTAGTTGTCTAATTATATGTCTACACTAATTTTTTGGGTCCCTTTTCAAGATCTTTGGATGGATTACATCAAAGAGGAACTGCACCACCCTCTTGGTAGACCGGAGAACTGCGGACAGATCTATTGGCGAGCCATGAAGATGCTGCAGGGAGAGGCAGCCGAGAAGTTCGTAACTAAACATGCCATGCATCAGGCTGGCCAGCTGTGAGAAAAGGAAGAACACAGCCACCTTTTTGAAAAAGTATTGCAAGTCCCCTGGGCAAACTTTCCGTTTGTAATTTGCTTTGAGACGGCTGACAAGACAGCCGTCTGATTTTGAGACACGCTTTAATTTTCTAATGTATTGCTCTGTAATTCCAGAAAGAAGAACTATTGTTTCGTAGCAAAAAGCTACTTGTTGAGGTTGGACCTGCTTTAAGTCCTACATGTTTTCCAAAACATATGGAAACATAATAACTGAGTTTAATTTAATTATAACCTCTCCTGGCCTCAGGTCAGTTAAAATGGAGGAGAAAGTAGAGTTCTATTTATTTTCTCCGGGACCTAGTATGTACCTGTAGAAAACATGGGAGAAAGAGACCAGTGTGGAGAAGAAAATAAACATGTCCTATGTATAGCACTTGGACTTAGACTCAGCAGTTTGATTTCCTTGATCTGCATGGACCTTATTCATTCATTCAAGCAGGAAGGAATGCCCACAGTGTCAGGAAAGAAGGGAAGCCTTTGGCATGCAAAGTACAGGGGATGGAGGAACAGAACCGGCTGTCCCAAGAGCTAGCTGAAGCAGTAGGGGAGGAGATGCTGGGTATTTAAGAAAAAGCTGTTTTTTAAGAAGGTTATTATAACATTCTGAAAGTATCTTCTATTTCTGGGACTAGCCAGCCAAGTCATTTTTTGGGGGAAGGTCCTGGAACAGAGAAGGGCAGAGGTAGGGTGTAGATTAGAGCAGCAGAGAAGGGCTTCAAAGGTGTAGAAGCGTGGCTTAGAGGAGAGAGGGGATGTTCCGGACTAGGGGAGGCAGTTGTTAAAATTTTGTATCTGCTAAGATGTCACTGTGCGAACCCCTCAGTGTAATTTTATGTGACCATCTACCCATACAGGCATGAGTCACCTACCTCTCCTGGGGGTGACGTCTGAATGTATATGTGTCTGTGGGCTAATGCACTGAGGAAGTGCCGTCTAGCTGTCGGCTCCACAGTGGCTCCACGGTTGGTGAGGAGATTCCATCTCCACAGCAGCTCAAGGATGATTCCTCAGGCATCCGACATGCCTTCACCTTCCAGTGTCCCTTATCCCACGCTGACACAAACTGCACAAACTGCCCATCCCACGGCACTCCACTCCTCTGCTGGGCGTGACCTATGCTGCATTGGCCACACTGACCTGACCGATAGTCGAGAATTTAAATGTCAGGATCAGAGAGCATTCAGGGTATAGTTCTTCAGGTTCTAGCACAGCTTCTCAGCCATCCCAGCAGGCACGCTGTTTTCTGGTCCTCTGTTTCTCAGCCACGTGGCCGGTTGGCCTTTGTCCCAAGTGGGACAAATGTTCCCAAACATTTTTTAGCACTGATAATGCCCAAAAGGTACCCCACTCTGGAAGCCAGCCTCCTGTTCTTCTGAGATAACTCACTATACCCAGTGGAGGGGCAAAACTGACCAGTCCCCTCAGGAGAGTCCTCCACACTGTGTGTACATGCTTCCACCCAGTCCTTTGGTGGGAGTTACAGAGACGATGCTGGAAGAGCCAGGCCAAATCATTTCACTGCAGCCCAGGCACCCAGGTTTCTGAGTGCCGGATGTCTGGCTCTTCCTCAGCCCGGAGTCCACCTCTTCTGTAGCGGTGGGAGACCGATCTTCTCCGCCACAGGATCTAGTCCCCGGGGTTTGCCTGTGTGGTCACCCTGGGCTGGAGTGCCCGGATACCATTTACCCACACCATCGCCTCTCTGAGCTGGTTTTTACAGGTAAGCTGGCTTTCCCACGCCTGCTTAGCTGAGAAGGCGCTGCAGCCAATAGGCCCCATGGAGCATCCTGGGCAGGCACCACGCAGCAGCAGCTTTACACCCTGTGATACATCTTGAATGTGACGTGATAGATACCCGTATTGTTCTTCTTCCTTGTCATGAAACAAAACATTTCTAACCTCCTGTGATTGGACTTCGTCCTTTTTTTTTTTTAACTGTTTTATTAGGGGCTCAAAGAACTCATCACAATCCATACATACATAAATTGTAACCTTTTTTTTTTTTTGGTAACTTCTTATAAACACTGTTGTTGAAGATTTTTATAAATCTTTGTTCATATCCCTAATTATTTCTTTAGGAGATTAATAGGTGACAGTGAAATTATTGAATAAAATGATACAACTATTTAAAATAATTTTGATACGTACAAGCATTGTATGACCGTGCCAATGCCTTACTTGTGCACTGGGTGTTACGGTTTTTTAATTTTAACTATTTTAATAGGTAAAAAGGGACCTTCTTTTGATGTGCATATCTTTTAGTGGATTTAATAATTTTGCTTTTTGTTTCTTTTTTCATGTTCTTTGACAATATTTTGAATTATTCTTTCTTACTGATTTATACAAAGAATCCTTTTTATATTAAGGAATATAAATACTTTGTTGCAAATAAATCACTACAACTTTTTTTTTAATCATTGGGGGCTCATCCAGTTCGTTGCAATCCATCCATTGATCCATTGTGTCCAGCACATTTGTACATTTGTTGCCATCATCATTCTCAAAACATTTTCTACTTGAGCCTTTGGTATCAGCTCATTTCTTCCCCTCCCTTCCTCCCCCGTCCCCTCACCAACCCTTGATAATTTATAAATTATTATTATTTTTCCATGTCTTACACAGACTGATGTCTCCCTTCACCCACTTTTCTGTTGTCCATTCCCCAGGGAGGGGCTTATATGTAGATCATTATAATTAGTTCCCCCTTTTTCCCATACTTCCCTTTCCCCTCCTGGGAGCTCTACTCCCATTATTAGTCTTGAGGGGTTTATCTGTCCTGGGTTCCCTGTGTTTCCAGCTCTGATCTGAACCTGGGCACATCCTCTGGTCTAGCCCATTTGTAAGGTAGAATTGGGATCATGATAGTAGGGGCGGGGGTGGGGGAGCATTAAAGAACTAAAGGAATGTTGAGTTTCATTGTTGCTATACTGCACCCTGGCTGACTCATCTCTTCCCCGTGACCCTTCTGTAAGGGGATGTCCAGTTTCCTGCAGATGGGCTTTGGATCTCTACTCCGCACTCCCCCTCATTCACAATGATATGATTTTTGTTCTTTGATGCCTGATACCTGATCCCATCAACACCTGGTGATCACACAGGCTGCTGTGCTTCTTCCATGTGAGCTTGGCTGCTTCTCAGCTAGATGGCCGCTTGTTTTATCTTCAAGCCTTTAAGACCTCAGACACTATATCTTTTGATAGCCAGGCACCATCAGCTTTCTTCACCAAACTTTTGCTTATGTACCCGCTTTGTCTTCAGCGATTATGTTGGGAAGGTGAGCATCATGGAATGCCAGTTTAATAGAACAAAGTGTTCTTGCATTGAGGGAGTATTTGAGTAGAAGCCCAATGTCCATCTGCTACCTTAATACTAAACCTATAAATATTTGCACATGGATCTATTTCCCTATTGTCATATATAAATATATTTACATAAGTACATGCCTGTATTTAGACCTCTATAAATGCCCTTTGCCTCCTAGTTCCTGTATTTCCTTTTACTTTCCTCTTGTCCCACTATTATGTTCAGCCTTCATTTAGGTTTCAGTGATTCCTCTCGGTTACATTGCCCTTGAGCAAGCCCCACCAGGCCTCTTATACTAAGGTGACCAGATTTAAAGCGGGACACCATTGACTGGGGGGTGGGGGAGGTGTTCTTGATTAAAAATTTGCTCTATATGGACCAAATAGACTGTTCCCCAGCTTGTCGTGCATTTCCAAAAATTGGGACTTTTTTTAAATGCTAAAAATTGGGACTGTCACCCAGGTCACCTTATACCCTCCTTGCCATCAATTTTGGATCACTTGTTTCCTTGTCCCTTGGTTTGTTAACACCCACTTCCTTTCCTTGCCTCCCCATCTCCCATGTCCCCCTGGAACCGTTGGTCCCATTGTTTTCTCCTCCAGATGGTTTATCCCACCTATCTTATCTAGGTAGACCTGCAGAGATAATAATATGCACAAAAAACAAGACAGACCAGAACAAAGCAATAAAACAAAACAAAAAACCAATAACAAAAAAGAGAAAAGCCTATAAATAGTTCCAGGTCTATTTGTTGACCTTTAGGAGTGTTTTCTGGTTGAATCTGATGGAGTGCTATGCTTTGGCTGCTCTGAGCAGGAATATCGTCTTCAGGACTTGTGGGCCAGGATGTGCTCCACTCTCTCTTCCTCCTTCATTTGCTCCCGTGTGCTCTGATCAGACATGTCCCTCTCTCTGAGCTGTGGATTCAGTGCTGTCCTCTAAAGTGAAATCTGCGGGGAGGTGGGGCTGTCCACGTAGCTGGGATTGAGGCTGGCCCCTTACTACAACTTAAAAATTTTTTTTTGACATCTAGAGCTTTTCCTTTTTTGAGATTTCTATTGTGTATAGAATACTTTGAAGGCCCCTTTCTCTTGCTGAACCAACTAATTTCCTCTGCACCCAAATTGTTGAATAATTTTGGGAGCATTATTTGTGGCCTCTATGGTTCTGTTGATATGATAATACCTTGATAATACATTAAATTTCTATGAATAGTAGAGTTTAACCTGGGAATTTTTATTTGGAGCTTTTGTATTTATAAGTTTGTTCCAGCAAAGTTTTCTGTTTTCTCCTTTCCCTTAAGTCCTGGGAAGCTTAACATTCTAAATCATCTCCATGGTGTTTTTCTTTCAAGAGAGTGGTACTGTCGTATCAAACGAAAGGAAGCAATGGGGGTTGCGGTTGGTTGGCTAGTTCTGGCTAGGCTGTGAAGGTGGTTCAACTTATGCATGATCCGCACCACCGCAGGTTATGAAATGTTAGTTCATGTTGAGTTGTGAGGGTAGAGTATAGTTCCTAGCCATGTATGGCAATTACAATAAAAATTCATGAAAAGCCTCAGCTTCTCAGTCATATTGACCACACGCCTAGATAGTCATATGGCTATTGCTGCTGGTAGGTCCCATCACGTCGGTACAACAGAGAGAAATCCTGTCTGGCCCTGTACCATCATCCAGATTATGGGGTTTGAGCCTATTGTTGCAGCCACTGTGTCAATACATCTTATTGAGGATCTTCCTCTTTAAGCTGAGGGACACTCTGCTTTACCAAGCATGATGACGTTTTTCTTCTTTTTGTTTGTTTGTTTGTTTTTTATATTTTACTCTTTTTTTTTGTTTGTTTATTTTTAACATTTTATTAGGGGCTCATACAACTGTTATCCCAATCCATACACACATCAATTGTGTAAAGCGCATTTGTACATCGTTTCTCAAAACATTTTCTCTCCATTTAAACCCCCGACATTAGGTCCTCATTTTTCCCCTCCCTCCCCGCTCCCCCCTTCCCGCATGAGCCCTTGATAGTTTATAAATGGGTATTTTGTCATATCTTGCCTTGTCCGACGTCTCCCTTCATCCACTTTTTGGTTGTCTGTCCCCCAGGGAGGAGGTCACGTGATGCCGTTTTTCCCAGGGTTGTCCCACCCGAAAATATCCAAAGTACATGAGGTAAAGTCTTCTCATCTCATTTTTTTTTTTTTTTCCCCATCTCATTTTTAAGAAGCATTGTGGCTGCGTTTCTCCCAAGATAGATTTGTTCTGGCAATTCATGGGATATTCAATATACCTCACTAGCAACCTAATTCAAAGGCACTAATTCTTTTCAGTCTTATGCATTGCTCAGCTAGCATAGGCTTATGAAGCGATTGAAAATACCGTGGGTCCTTAGAGTGACGTCTTTGCTTGTCAACACTTTTTTTTTTTTTTTTTTAAACATTTTATTAGGGGCTCATACAACTGTTATCTAAGCTCCTCAACACTTTCAAGAGGTCTTTTGCATTAAATCTGTCCAGTTGAATACATCTGAGTTCTTGGCCGCTGCTTCCCTGGATGTTGATTGTGGGACCAAGTAAGGAGAATTCCTTGACAGGCTCCGTCTTTTCTCCACTGATCACGTTATACATTCGTACAGCTGTGAGCATTTTTTTTTTTTTTTTTCAAGTGAGTTGCTTTAATTCCAGATGGGCCTCACAAAGACTGAAGAGGAACTCTGACAGGTTCTGGACTGGGTTCACTCTGACCTCACAGCTAAGATAGACATGGCTGCGTGAGCAGAACTAAACACTATGATTTTTCTTCTTTTTTACAAAAGTTTATTCTTAAATTGACAGAAGGCTCCAAGACAACACTTCATTCTAACTGTAGGTGGCAACAGATGTTATAGCAGGGAATCCAGATGTCTACACAGGAACGGCATCAAGGGTCATCATTGCCTCAGTCACCAAGGACAGCTTACTTTTTGCCAGATTTCTCAATTCCACCAGCGGCCAGGGGCCCCTTGCCCGCGGCCTTTGCCTTTAGCTCCGTCAGTTTCTTCTGTTCTTCCTTCTGTTCCTGCTTGAAAGCCTTCTCTTCCTCATCCATTTCCTTGGTCTGCTTCCTGGGTGGTTTCAGGGGCTTCCTCTTGCCACCTTCGCGGCCCGCCATGGTGCCTGCCGCCCCTTCCCCAGAAAAGCCAAGAATATTGATTTATATTGACATAACCCACATTGAAGGCAGCAGTTTTTGATATCTATCAGCAAATATTTCAAGTCCTTGCCTTCAGCAAGCAGGCTTGAATCATTTGCATATCACATTGATAATGAGCCTTCTTTCGATCCTGATGTCCTGCCTACATATGACTAGTTTATGGGGTTATTTGCTCAGAAGACAGATTAAATAAGCATGTGAAAGAACACAACCCTGTCGTGGGTTTGAAACCACACAGCATCCCCTAGTGTTGTTTGTCTGTTGGTCTGTGTATAGCTTTCCCAAGAGCACAACAACTTAAAACCAACTCTCCCCGCCCCCCCCACCCCCAACCCCCGCCAAACTCACTGCCATCGAGAACTGCCTCTTTGGGATTCCGAGACACTAAATCTACCAGAGTAGAAAGCCTCACTTTTCTCACAAGGAGCGGCTGGTGGTTTCAAACTGATTATCTTCTGGTTAGCAGTTCAATTCGTAACCACTATGCAACCAGGGCTCCTGTACAGCAACCAAGTGTACTAGAATTCCCATTCTTTGCAATATTATCCACAATTTATTATGATCCACACAGTGTAGAAGCTTTCTATAGTTAATAGGGCATGGATAAACATCTTTCTGATATTCTCTACTTTCAGCCAAGATCCATCCGACATCAGCAATGATCTCTCATGTTCCATGTCTTCTTCTGAATCCTACTTAAATTTCTGGCAGTCCCCTGTTGGTGTACTATTGTTACCATTTTTGAATTATCTTTAGTATCATTTTACATGAGTGAGCTACTAATGATGCTGTTTGATGATCTCTGCACTATTTTTAATTACCAGTTTTTTTTGGAATGGGCACAGATAAGGATTCTTCCAGTAGACCCAGTAGCTAGCTTCTAAATTTCTTGGCAAAGTGCTGAATTGGTTTGTTAAAATAAATTCCTGGAGACTTATTTTTGGCCACTGCCTTCAGTACAGCTTGGACTTCCATCTTTAATACCACTTGTTATTGATCATATACTACCTCTTGAAATAGTATGCTGTCTTCCATCTTATTTTTTTAAAATATGGAACACCTCACGAATTTGTTGTCATCCTTGTGCAGGGGCCATGTTAGTCTTCTCTATCTTTCTAGTTTTAGTACATGTGCTGCCGAAGCGGACACTTCTTGCATCTTTTGATGTTTCCTGCATCATTTAAGATTGTGCCGTAGGATCCTTCAGTATTTCAACATGAGTCTTGAATTTTTCCTTCAGTTCTTTTCAGCTTGAGAAATGCTGAGCCTGTTCTTCCTTTTGATTTTCTACCTCCAGGTCTTTGCACATTTCATTATAGTACTTTGTCTTCTCGAGCTGCCCATTCCGCTCTGTAGTTTCTCCTTTTTCCAGGCACTTTAACTACTTTAGGTTCCAGTGCAAGTTTCAAAGTCACTTCCTGCATCCAGTTTGATGCCCCTCCCTATGCTTTTTGTTTTCTTCATGTCATTGTTAGGTCTCTTTGGAGCTAGATATACCTCGGTCCTTGGCTCCGCGCGAGAAAGTGATGCAAGTGATGATACAAGTGCCCACCCATGCGTACCCAGCGGGAAACCTGAACCTCAAGCATGTGCAGTGTGCCACTCCTTTGTTTCCTAGCTTGGCCCTCTGGGCATACTTAAGGGACTTCCCAGCCCTAAGTTAGCCTACCTCTCATGTCTTTGGTGTTATCCCACAACTCATCATGAGACTCTTAATCTCAGGGTCGTGGGTTTGTGTCCCACGTTGGTCTACCGACAGCTAGCCGGGCAGTATGAAATGAACTCTTAAGAGTTATACCCCGTGTAACAATTGTACAGCCCCATTGGAATGTAGAGTGATTGGAAAATTGTGTGAAGTGAGGATCCGGTGTGGGGAATGGTAGCTAAGTAGTGGAAATAGTGAATGAGCATATGAAAGAGAACAATGAGGCAAGGTAAAAGTAAACCTGAAACTTACAGTACTACGCTTATCTACTTACTGAAAAGACAGGGTGTAAAAGTCAGGAAGAGAGCGTCAAATAATGGAGTCAGACACAATTCATGGTAGCATGCTCACTTCAACCCCGCTTAGTGGTCCTAGTGGGGGGAGCCCGGCTGCGAGAGCAGGAGAGAGCCCCAATTTTATTGCTAACCAAGGGTTATATCTCATTCGGGGGGCATGATTACAGGTAACCATACGGCACAGGAAGGGACAGTACATTAGGCATACATATCATAGGAAGGGGATGTATGATAGGCATAAGTGTAACAGGAAGGGATGAGTTAGGGGTGGGCCCATAGGAATGGGAAGGTCTAGGGGTATACATGTAACAAGATGGGTGGACCCTAGATTCATGATGGCAGCCTAACCTTGGTCACCCTTGGGCGGGTTTGACCCCTCTGGTCTCTCCTACAAGGAAACAGACAACTACTACCCTTATCAGAAGGGAGTGGGCCCTACTTGTTGTGGGATAAACAGTGGTGACTGCTTGGTCTAGATGGCTGATAACCCTTAGGGAGAATAATCCCTGATCTACTCCTGATGACCTCCAAGTGTATAGTCAATTGCAAGCAGCTAAGTTTGGTATATATTTGGGGGAGACAAGTTGAGAGAAATCCTTCTGTTTCCCATAAATCTTGAAATGTTATTTTTGACAGTAAATCTCGAAATGTTTTTGGCAATGAATGGGGGCAGTCTTCAATTCGCCATTCCCCAGCATAGACCACATTTATGATTGATTTGAAATGGCCAGTCCATTTCCACTCACTAGCACCTGTAATATCTCCCTTCAATCATTCCATTTCATTTTGACAGCATCCAATTTTTCTGTATTCTGCTTGGTACATTCTACGTCCTGATGACCAATGGGTGTTTTCAACCAGTTTTTGTTTCTTGTTTTGAGTCATGCCGCAGCAGCAAATGAAGGTCCCCAAAGCTTTAGTTCACCAATGTCATTAAGGTCTACCCTTCTGGGTACCTCCAACCTGAGGGCTCATCTTCCAGCCCTGGATCAGACAGTGTTCAGCTGCTTTTCATAAGGTTTCCACTGGCCAGTTTTCAGAAGTAGATTACCAGATCCCTTTACCTAGTCGTAGTCTGGGAGCTCTGGAGAAACCTGTGCTCCTTGGTAACCCTGCTGGTATTTAAATTACCGGTGGCACAGCTTCAACCATCACAGCAACATGCAAGCCGCTGCAGTAAGAGCCCTGGGTAGTGGTTACCAGTCTGGATAGTGCCGATGATAGAACATTTCTTTCCACCACTGAGGAAGGTTCTGTTGGGCATTCTTCACCTAGAGCCAGTCAGACTTGGGGAAACGGGCCTCATGGGTCAGCAGCGCACGCATCATTGGGCATATAACTTTTTCCCTGTAGGGAAGTCTACATAGGGAAAGGAAAGCAATATTGAATAATATGCATCAATTGTAGTGCAAAACTGTTTCTTCACCAGTATTTATAAACAAGGCAGTTTACAGAAAGCCCCTGCCTCAAGTCAGTGTCAACTCCTAGTGGCCATCTTTGGCTGAATAGTGCTCCACAGGGTTTCCACGGCTAAATCTGTGAGAGGAGAACGCCTTGGCTTTCTTCCACTGAACAGCTGGTGGATTTGAACCCCAAACTTGGGGTGAGCAGCCCAGAGCTTAACCCACTACTTCTCCAGGGCTCCATGTTTTTGAGGGAGGTAAGGAACAGCCTCACTCAAGGTCCCCAAAGGTGGTCATGAAGTTGCTCGGTAAGCAAGGAGTCCCAGATCCCCCGTGGTGAAAGGTCAACTGCTGGAGGAAAGGCCAGTTTTAGGGCACCTGGAAGACAGGCAGTTCTACCCGACCCTATAGAGTCACTTAATGGCAGAGTTTAGATCTTTCTGTTTTTGCACTGGGGCTTAACCCCAGCTCAGCCTCTGCTTGTTGGCTTCTCATACCTTCACAGGCAAGATTCAGTCAAGTACCAGGCTGTCACCACTTAAAGATTCAAGACTTACTAGAGGCTCCTCCGTGTTTGCCCCAAGCCCCCCCGTATGAAGTTCTGCGTCGACTCACGCTGTAAAAGGTTCTGCACAAACTGGAAAGAAGGTGCCTTTGTCAGAAACCAGCGAACCGGGGACTGACGACCACGAAGGACTTGGGGGACCACGGACAATGGCGACTGAAAATGTCTGGCGCTTTTATGACGCCGCCCGATCAAGAAGACCGTAGCCGGTATTTTCCACCCCAGGGGCCAAGCCATTCCTCACCTCTTTACAGGGTTCAAGGGCACTAGTACCTGAGCTCGGGCACATGCCGAGCGAGAAATAGCTTTTGCTGTTTGCAACCCAGCTGGCCTCTTGATTGAATTGAATCTTCACTTGGCCTTACAAAAGACAGCAGGGGTCAGACCACTTCCACAGCACCCACTTTTAAATGGTTCCTATGACTCAGCCAGCGCACAGTAGATGTTTTTTTTTTAAAGTTATATAAATTTTTTTAAAAACATTTTATTAGGGGCTCATACAACTGTTATCGCAATCCATACACACATCAATTGTGTAAAGCGCATTTGTAC